ATAGATAGATAGATAGATAGATAGATAGATAGATAGATAGATAGATAGATAGATATGTAAGAGAAAAAAAGAAGTAAAAGAAAACAACAAAAACATAGAAAACGAAGTCGGAAGTTGAAGAACGAACATAATATGCCGTAATCAGTAAGGAAACACGTAGGCCTACGCTGATATATTTTAAAAAATGAAATAAACAGAATATTAAACGCATATGTGTTTCTAAAAGACAAAGGACGCTTTTGCAAAGGTGTGTTTTATTACATCAAACTAATCACGAAATCAGCTCTTACCTTTGTGAATAAAGAAATGATCGACGACTGCATCCCACAGAACTTCACTTTGATTTAATATTTCTTAAGGTTCCTTTTCGGACACCGTGTCTAGAAGTCTGTCCACAATTTCAATTTTACTATTGCCACTTTAGCTGAGAGCATAGCTTGCGACATGTAGATTATACTTTGAATTAGAATAATACATTGGAAACAATAACGGCCACTCTGCAATTAGAACGTTAATCCAAACGAGAGAGTAGGCCTACATCCTCCGCCAGTTACCCAGACAGCCAGCTCCTGCAGACAAATGATTTTCAACCAGCGATACTGCATCTGGTTACATTAGCGAGGTTGACTGGCCCATGCAAATGGCTTTTCCTTGGTCCGCGTTTGTTTGTTTGTTCATTGCCTGGGATTTTTCCCCGTTCGATGAAAGATAGATCTATGTGAAACGTGTGGTGTCCAACAAAAGGTCAGCTAGTGATTGATGTTATCGCATGTCCCCTATATTTTATGTCAAACGTGTATTTTATTTAATTATTTCTTTATCAATTTTTTATTTTTACTCTATCGACTCCAACCAAAAACGTTTGTCAAGATGGGCTGAAATGCTATCTCAAAAAAGAAACAAAGACCTCTTCACTGGCGACATCCCACGGCATTGACCAAGAAATACATCTATTAAAATATGTGTTGTTGTATGCTTTGTTTAGGTGTGTGGGTCGTTGGCAGAAAGAAAAACCTAAAAGTCGGAAGGATTATGTTCGCGTTTCACAAATAAAAAATAAGAAAGGGCCCCAATAAGAAAATCGCATTTTTGTTACAGTTAGAAATAGCAGGCCACACGAGATGAACCATTCGCAATTCTGTAAGACTATGTTTGTATAAGTGTGTGCGTGTGCGTGTGCGTGTGCGTGTGCGTATATGTGCATGTATGTGTGTGCGTTTGTGTGTGTGTGTGTGTGTGTTTGTGTGTGTGTGTGTGTGTGTGTGTGTGTGTGTGTATGTGTGTCAATATAATTATATATATGTATAAGTCTGAGTGTCAATATGTGTGTCAATATGTGTGTATGTGTGTCTGGGTGTATGTGTGTCTGAGTGTGTATGTGTGTATGCATGTGT